ATATCTCCAATTTGATTCTGTGGAAGATTAAAAAAAGTCAAAGATGAATCTGATTTTAAAAATTTTGCCAAAATGCTAGATCCATTATTTTTAATTTCATGTTCAATAAAGTTTAATAGTAAACATTGATTTTGATAATTTTGTACTTCTAGTTGATCAAACAAGGATAATAACTGTTTGTAAAGAGTTCCATTTGGTTTGATGTTGAATAATTCACTAATATCATCTATTGCTTTATTATACTGATGATTATCAAAATAGACAGCTGCTCTTATCTTCAGTGTATCTCTCTGTGGTTGAATTTCTAATAACTTGTTGAAATCATTTAATGCACTATCATACTGTTTGAGTCCATAATAAATCTTTCCTCTTACTCTCAATGCAACCATATGATCTGGTTTGGCATTTAAAAATTTATCCAAATTACCCAATGTATTGCCATGTTGATTAACATGCCTAATAATTCCCTTTTCCATTAAAATAAACATATCACTTGGACTCTTTCCCAGTGATTCATCAAGATCCTTTAATGCATTAGCATATTGCTCAAGCATGAGATAAGCATGCCCTCTTAGATGTTGTGCTATTTTCTCAGTTGGCTTGATTTGTAACACTTTATTGAAGTCTTCTAATGCATCTGCATACTGGCAACAATTAAAATAGGTAGCTCCCCTTGCAATCAGTGTGTTTACATCATTTAGTTCAATCTCTAATAGTTTAAGTTGATTGAAATCAGCCAATGCTAGCTCATACCAGGTAAGAATGTAATAGACATTACCCCTGACTTCTAATGCAAGCGTATCATTTGCATCAATTTTTAATGATTGTTTAAGATCTTTAAGAGCTTGTTTGTACTCTGATTGTTGCATATAATATTTTCCACGCCAAGCCCATGCTCTGGAATTGTTGGGATTATTTTTTATGGCTTTGGTTATGTAATCATAACATTTTTGGTAGTTTAAAATTTCCATATATGCAACAGCAAGGTCAATTTGGATAGTTGCACTATTGGGATATTGAATAAGTGCCCTTTCAAGCCATAATATTGCATCATTATATCTTTTCTCATCAAGAGCTTTCTTGCCTTGCCTGTATGTAGGATGTAAACTTTTTGGTCTCTTCATCAACTGGAAGATGGTTTTCTTTGGTTTCATTTGAAGCAAATATAAAAACTTTGATTTCATAATAGAAGTCTCCTCAACATCATCATCATCATCATCATCTTGACTTGCCACAATAGCTGTAAAATCTTTTGTCTTGCCTTTTGTATTTGGTGTAATATGTCCAGCCCTGACAAATTTTTCATACAATGCTTTGTAAATTGGTGAGCTTGGTATTATCTCAGTATCTTCCAATTGAAATTTTCTTCTACAATAAAAGCATTTCAACTCAAGACAGTTCATATTCATAAATTTCTCTAATGCCAAATAGCTGATTTTGTGTTTACATGGAAGTATTCTAAAATCATCTGTAACTTCCTGTGTAAATTGACAGGTAAGATGCTCAGCAACCATGTCTAAAATTAATGAATCATTTGGATCTGAATCAAGAAGTTTTTCAGGTGGCTGACTATGACCAGATTTACTTGCTTTTTGTTTAAATATTGGCCTTCCAATATTTGTTCTGTCAATTGTTTGATTAATGTAAGCATATTTTTCATCCACATACTTTATCATGTCTTTGAGCCTTTTTTTATCTTGGCCCAAGGCTGAAAAGTGTTCAACATGTTGATCTAGATCAACATGCACAACAGAAAACATGATTGAATCTTTTTCATGCAGAGTCACTAGAACTTCTATTGCTTTAAATTGAATGAATTCTATCTTCACAGTGTCCAGAGTTAGTTTTGCAAGATAATAACAATGGGCCAAGGTGTTGGTATTTTTTGTAGATATTATCAGCCTTTGAGCAATATCCAGTACTCCAAACAATAATGAGTATGGAACTGATTCTGACATAATTTTTAAATTTGTATTATTTGTATTAGACTTATACCCATCTGACTTTGCTGAAATTGCTTTTTTCCACTCTTGGTCTCCAAATCTCCACAGATCCTTGATAATCATCAATTCTCCTTTAGCAACCAAATTTCTATTAATTGGAGCAGCTGACCATTCAACAAATGCTTGGTAAATTGTGTATAAATACCCCCATTCCTTGTACCAATGGCCTACAGAGAATTTGGATTGTAAAGCTTCCTGAATACGATTATAGATTGTAATAGTAGCTTTGTTATCAATTGGGGTTTCCATACTTGTCATAACACCAGTCATTGTCATATCAGACAAAACTTCAACTAATGCAGCAAAAATAGCTTTTAGTTGGTTTATGATTTCAAGCCAAACAGTCTTGTCATTATCATCATCCATCACATGAAGAGTGTTATAAAGCTGCATAAGTAAAAAATCATTGTTGTAATTTTGAACTTTAACACTTTCCTCCAAAGTAGCAGATAATACCCTTGGACTTTGTAAACCTTTTTCTATGGCTTTTGTATAATGTTGATGAATGTCATACAACTTTGTAAGATTTTTATGCAAGCTTTCAAGTAACTCTGTCTCCATCTTAACAATTCGTCTGCCATATGTTTCTAAAGCCAATACATATGTCCTAAGATGCAGTTCCAATTCAATGTCAGCAGTTACCTCATAGTCCTTATATGTGACATAAATTCCAATTGTTTCCAAAACAGTTCTCAATTGTTTACCCTCTAACCTGTTACCAAATAATAGTAACAGATTTGATAATTTAATAAAATGACTGATCCTGTCATTACCATTACCATTGACAATTGATTCCAAAGTTGTAGATAGTTTCTCATTTAATTCAACTGTGCTCAGATGTGTTGTAAACATCTGTCCATAGTCATCATCATCATCATCACTGTCACTTTCAAAGACTATGAGATCTTTCTCAATATCAAACACATCTTCAGTATCAGTCTCTGCATTATCAAGCTGCTTTCCTTTCCCTTTGTTTTTGGTACCTGAAGATGATTGTTGTCCAATCTCCTAGTTAAAGTGAGTTGTATTTTCATTGTAGACATGTAAGAGTTTGATTTATTTCAATAATGCGGAAAAACCGAAAAAAAGCTTATTGAATGCCAAACTTACTCTGCTGTTTCCTGGCAAGTCGCAGTCCATACTAATCTTAATAGAAAAGGCTTTGGTTCTTCTTCTCAATATTAGTAACGGTATTTGCAATTCTTAGCGGTGATGTTAATATGCACAAGCGTTTGTTTGCCTTTGTGTGATGTGATACAGCTAGAGTTGGAATACCAATCATTACGAACTTACCGTTCAACTTACTACACAGTGAGACTCGATAAGTCGGACGAAATCTCACCCCCTTTTTTTCATATTTAAATTTTTCTCGATAAGTCGGACGACATATATAAACTCTCGTTAAGCTGTAAGTCGGACAACCTCTGTATGGAAATTGTGCTACGATAAATTCTATTGGTCCCTCGATAACTCGGACAGCCATGCCCACCCGTCGTGTCCGACTAATCGAGTTTCACTGTGTATTACATGCATTATGCTTCATAGAGGCCCTTTCTCGAGATTGAAGTATGTGATTACTATCCGGAATAAATTTCTGTTGCAGTACAGCAAACAAGATGACATTTTATAACTGAAAGATAGATTGCAAAATTACGAATACAAAAAAAATCATTGAGAATGTATGCTCAAATATATGGACGGTGAATTAAGGACTCCCTCTTCTACTGAAATGCGACATAGTCCTTATCCATAACAACAACAAAAAGTGTGCAACTTATTACAAGTGGCTGTCGATATAAGAAAATGGCCTTATGTCAAAAAAATTTTATTTTTTTTTTTTCAGTTAAATCGGGACCAGCGAAAATTTTTAATAGGCTTATATTCAATAGAGTTACGTCAAGCTAGCAAGGTATCAATAATCATCGTCTACTGATCGCAATAACCGTTTAAATACTGACAATAGTAACACCCCAATTCGTTGTTTGCACTTATCCAAACCCGGACACAAGCGTTCGATGTTTTATTATGTTTGTTCTTGATTCCATTACATAATTTTTTTATATTGGATTATGTTTCCCGTTTCCAGATATCTATTGCATTGCAGGCTGGAGAATTTGCACGTTAATCAAAAAAGAGTTAAGGAACGGTTGATATAAAAAAAAAGGTATCTGGACCCTCCCCCCGCCAAAGCACATTCGAGTTCAGTTCTCGCAACGTTGTCTGTAAACTGAAAGCACAATATACAATCAGTTTCCACGACCGTAGTGTTTGATTTCAACGCTTTTTCACCCATATCCGTGATCGTCTTCCTCCCTCTTTCCCTCTACATCAATTTCACTCTTCCATCATTCTCACCTCATTATTATCGTGTTCATTACCATTTCAATTGTATATTGTATCATCGTCTTCACTGCTGACAAATATTGGGCTCTTTTCATCGCCAACGTTGATTCCAGACGGGAGGACTCAAATTTTCTTGCAAGTCTTCACGAAACGTCATTGCATCGTCTCCATGAATGGCGTACAACAGTATTCACTCGTCGTCTGCGTCTCTTCCATCATTTCTATCGTTATGTAACGCACTCACAGGAATGATCCCAAAATAACCCTTTCAAGACATGCCCACCTGCCATGAGATAAAATACATTAGCTCCACGAAATTTACTGAGCCCCCACTGGGCACGACCGAGTTCTGGGCTGTTGATAATAATGCTTTTTTTTCGCGGAAAGCATGTCATTGGTCAGTATGACGGTTCTCCTCAGACCCAAAGCACATACAGAGTCTCATACGCTTTGTCATCATATCCGAATGCAGCATACAATCTGAAAATTGGCTTGACCAGATCGATGCCAATGCTTGATTTTCGTCATCGTTGACCGATTGGAGATAACTATGAAAATTAGTCAATTCTTTCCGCATTGCGTGACAATTATTATCATATTCTGGTACTTTGCTAGTGGGAATTCAGTTATTTCTCGTACACATTGTCTGGTATTCTACCGAAAGCATACAAGGTCTAGATGAGAATTTTTCAAGGAGAGACCGGAAGACGATTTGTATGATGACTTTACATTATCTGTTCGTCCTCCACTAAAAGCTTGGAGAGTGAATTTCAGCCATCTAGTGTCGTAGCGCGGGGCAAATGAAATTTGAATTGTTAAGAGATACGTGACCGTTGGTTGCTGATGTGAGCCTAGTGGAGCTGGTAAGCTATCGGTAGCACCATAGAAGGATAAGCAATAATGTAGATAGGAAAGTGGTTTCGGTTAATTCCATTACTTACACATCGTGCTATTAGAACTCTTTCCCAGGTACACTCCCAAGTGGTATTTGGAATATAACACTGCGACTATGTGACGAATTCGAATTGCCATCATAGTGGTTAATGGCACGGTACCAGGCACGTAGAAGTCGCAACGATACGCATGTGTCATCTCATACATGCATACACGTGAATCGACACTGCTATAACAAAAATCTATAGTCTATAGTATATAACTCGATCTAGTCACACCTTCTCTCTGCCAATTTATAGCATGACATAGCTGTTTTATGGTCGCCTTGGTCTCTAATTACCATTTTTTAAAATTTCATGTGTGCTTATATATATAGACAGTAGTTCATTGTATGCCGTATGAGTTAATTTTCGATATAAGAACATACACAGTGAAAAATCGATAAGTCGGATACTTGACACGTCGGACGAAACCTCTCAGTTTTTTAATATTTTAGTGAATTTTGATTATCATGCCCTTATATGACAGGGGAATTGCGCCAAACATCATTTCGCCTATTTCATGTGATATCTCTATACTCGATGTGTTAATTTTCTCGATAAGTCATTATGTCATTGAAAATTTTGCTGTTTGTTGATAATATAGAAAGACGTTTTTGTAATTTAAAAAAAAAGTCTACATTTCATTACGTCATTGACGACTTTGTTATTTTATTGATAATTGGAAAGACATTTTGTAATTAAACAAATGTTTATACCTCGTTATATCATTGATAATGATTTAGAAAGACGTTTTTGTAATGTATGGTACGTAATAAAATATTCATTGACAATATCATTCTGCGATTATTTGTACTTCGAAATAATGCATTTATTTATTCTTAATAATATTCAGAAATGTATGAAAAGACTGATTTCCCATTCTCAATGAAGAAGCAAGATAATACGTTAAAGGAAATTGTGTTATGATGAATAAGTCGGACAGCTATGGCCACCCCGGACTTATTGAGTTTCGCTGTGTGTAAAGTTGTCGGCAATTTAGTAAAAGCTTTTTCGTTCTCAAATCACTGTAATCAACCATATGTCAGTCGCGTAAAATTTTTATGCGCCAGTCAAATGACGCAATCATTGGCACTACAAGTACGTTGTACTAAATTTAGTATACAGTACATATTATACGTACGGTATTAATCAAGACGCGTGGGATTGCCGATTATACAATCATAATTATATTAGCTGTTACGCATATGAGTCAGCCACGAAACACTTGTCTAAGACGAATATTTTCGATAATAATAACAATATGGCATTTCTACTAAGCTTAATCCAACGAGTATAATGTTGATATTTCGCTTGGTCTAATTATAATTACTCTCTTAATTCAGAAATTGAGATATTAACTCTTCGCTAGGCATTGAACGTAACCCAGTGTAACAGATACGAATAACTCATTGAAAATGTAACATTGTCATAGGCCTCGTTGACATTGGAGTTAACTTTCGGTTCAGTGAATCATACAGCAATAATAATTGTAGACGCTCTCAAATAACATTCTATTGCTCAATATGAGCCGTACCCAGACGAGACGTTATCCATACTCAGAGATTGACAATGTACATTCTAATTGAGTTATTTTTTCAATAGATTAGACTCCGGCAAATGTTGAATTGTTCGTAGTATCCAACCATATCGTAGTTGTATATTTCGCTTCTCTACGCGTCGTAATGTCATCATTACTCTTTTATTTAACACTATAGCCTTTTCCTATTGGTTAAGTAAGTTTTAAATGTTCGCCAGTATGTTACGGCCGACGAAAAACTCGCCCCGTTTTGATATGATTAACACAACATCTTCAACTCTCGTTCCTTCGTCAGTCTTCTCAACGAATAGTTTCGCGCCATGGTACCGTAGATTAATTGCGATCAGCGAATGTATCGTTTAGTTGTATAAAAAATGATACGTTCAACCGAGAATAGCCGTTTGCCGTTTGAATAGGCTCTTCTCATCCTGTCATTGTTATGAGGCATCAATAACTTAAATTTGCCCTTTTGTATATATTGATGGTTGGATTTCATTTCAACGATGGCTAGAACCAGAACTCGTATTTAAACCAGAGCTCTGAGCGTAAGCGTTTTGAGCAGCAACGCAGTGAGCGTTTATTTTATTACGATTAAAATGGCAAAAGCAATACTGGAAAGAAAAAATCAATACAAAGTCATTTCATTGTATTGTTAATTACCTTGATAGGTAACATAAATTATTACGCATTCATCTTCTTGTGGTGTGTAAATGAGAGAGTAAATTTAGTTAACGGTTTCTTTTAGTAATAGGTACATTTTCATTATTAGTACAGGTATACAAAAAATGTATACAGTTGGCGAAAAAATGTTTAACGAAGTAAATATACCATATTTGGCTGACATCTATTAATAAAATAGCAAGGTTATCAATATTTAATTGGAAAAAATGTTAGTGTTATTCAATTTGACTGAGCAAGTGATGGAAAGACTTGATAAGCAGCTAAGAGCGATCGGAACACAATCAACTATACATTTGGCAACTTCTTTCCAATAGCTACGTCTAAACAAATTCAGCCTTATCGATTCACCAAGAATCTGACGTTTATTTGGTTTGTGACCAAAAATGGTTCAATGACACATACGGAATAAATCCGCCTGCCGACTTCTTTTCACAAAAGAGGTTCAGCTTTTGACGGGTATTGTAAATGCAGTAAACCAAGCTGAATTATGAGTCACCCCTTGTGAATATCATAGGAGATGCTGACATGCGTTGTTTTGTTTGGTTTGAGGAACAAAGCTTGTTTTTATTAGGGTAATCGCTAACAAGCTGCTGCTGCGTTTCGTATCGATCGAACAATTTCTTTTTCAAATAATCAAGTTATACACGAATATTTTACCAAGAATTACCTACATGGAATCAGCGAATGACATTCATTAGTATAACCACGCTTTGTCATTATTATCGCATCCATAGCACGACAAATATTACGTACTTGATACTTTCCCACTTGGGCACCCACTCCTTATCCACTAATCGCCATACTTGACTTGCATCAAATAGCTCTATAAACTGCTGATCCATGGACCGCGACTTGGGGTGAGAGAATCGGCGATATTCGTCAAAGATCGAAGTATGAGACCATCGCTGTACTTTACGTAGGCATCCAATTAAACAACCGGTTCGATGCTTTCCTTTATTGCAGTGAATTAATATTGGATGATTTCTTCTGTCTAGAAAAACAAAAGTATCATGATAAGAATAAATATAAAATAACTGAATATTACGATTGCTATATAGTCCATCAATTTACCTAAAATAACTGCTAGAGCTGCACATATTTTATCTTCAGGAACTGTTTGTTCGCCAGAGATGATTAGTTTACACAAGAATCGTTGAACCATCTTTGCGTATTGCCCATCTGTAAAGCAAACACGAGTTTCTGATTTGCTTACTCTGAACAAATGGTTCCTATAGAAAAACAAAAAGTTTAAAATAACACGTCAAACATGATAAACACACCTCCCCCCCCCGGTTATCTAACAAACCTTATTCCCAGCTATTCTAAATTGGAATAAGTGAATATTATTCGCTTCGAGAAATTTCATATTCTGTTCCGGATATTCTTCCATAATCAGAGTTCTTGCGTAGAGGTAAACGAACCAAACAAGAAAGAATTCATAGAGATTACTTTTGATCCCTGAGGCTCAGTTAGTTCAGAATTATTCGCTTTTTTTTTTCCTTATTCATTCGATCGGGGTACACACACATACGCACCACACCCTTCTATGTCAAACGCTCATTCTCTAGAAACTCTCTACTTACAGAATGCTTTTTAATCCCAGCTTTTTCAGAAACGCAAAATTCTTTTTCTTTGGAAAACTACTTCGGTAAACCCATGTTGAGACCATATTAAAATTCTCCGGCGGTATCAATTCCTCGTATTGTACTGGTTCTTCACCCGACGACGATCCTGTTGACCATGATAGAACGTTGGTCGCGGGCGATAGGGTGTCGGGAAGACGAGTTGGGGGTGTCGGAGGTATGGAGCGGCTGTGTGATACGTCAATAGATGTTATTTGTATTTCTATTTGGCTAGTATGTGAATCATCGTCTTCCTTTACAGACATTTGAGACCTCTTCTTTACCGACGAAATGTCAAAAAAATGTGTCGAGAATTCATATTCAAGAATCACATGTATATCACGTGTTTTACATTGTAATAAATATATTTGTCATTTTATAATCAATTACAATAATAAGAGTATTCGAATGAATATATCATGGTCACATGAACTATATGATCTAAAGTCTATTCTCAAAATGTCTCTCCTTTACATTACAGACGCTTGACACCCACGATGATAATCGCTATTCATATTCGTTAACAAAAAAATAGACTTTTTTTTTTTTTTTTAAAAAAATAACTTTGATGTTGGTTGGTGGTGGTGCGGATCTCTCTGGCAATTGTTCAATCATGGCGTACCGATAGTTGGTTCAGGCATTAATATCGTAGGACGTTCACCATTCGTTCCCACTCGCGAAATATTCAATCCTTTAACTCTCGGAGGACCGTCGTAGCTATCCGTTGTCGGCGACGTTGGTAATTCCATTCGCATAAATCCTTCACGTTTCGCACTTCGCGGACTATCATATGTAATGTCGGTGTGACCTCTGGATTCAGCGAACGGCGACGATACTATTGGGTCTAGCGGAGCTACTATCGGCTGAGCCGGGTATATATAGGAATCGTCTGTCTGTTGGTATGATCTGTTGCTACTAGTACTACTGCTACTAACACTGACACCGCTGACACTACCGCTACCACCACCACCAACTTGTCTGTCTTGACTGAAATAACTGCTCGACCCGTCTACACTTTGAGAGCTCTTCTCTGATGCCGATGGCGACCCCCTGCTGGTCATTGTCAACGTTCGATGCAGCGAACTGGTTGACCCGGTGCTCGATCGGCTGATCGATGTTGCGCTACGATGCAATGGTTGGGCCACTTTTAATATTGCTGGGTTTGTAATTATTGGTGCTAACGGAGGATGGGTCGCGTGCGTATTATAATTATATGTCGATGTGGCGGACGCTATGGACGAACTATCTGGAGGGTATGCGGAACTATTCACTGTATAGGCAGACGCATCGGAAAATGGATCGGCGGTGGCAGGGTAAATATCTGCAGATTTGTCCGCATAGTTAGAAGAAACTACAGGAGAAACAAGATGAATAGGCGGGGTTTGCGTTCCACCATGTGGTAAATATTGGTGTTGGGATGGAGGGGGCGTTTGTGACTGAACTTGAGGATGGGCTTGCCCGTGCGGCGGGTATTGATGTTGAGGTTGTGGTGGTAGTTGTGGTTGCATTTGAGGTTGCATTTGAGGTTGCGCTTGAGTTTGAGGCAAGTATTGATGCTGAGGTTGTAGTTGCGGTTGCGCTTGTGGATGTGCGTATTGATATGAATACTGTTGTTGTTGATATGGATGTGGAAACGGATTTGAATATTGTTGTTGTATCGGAGAAATTGGATTCGTCGACTCGTGATTACTGTATCCACCATTCGGATAGTACACATTGGGATATGCACTGGTTCCATTACTCACTACACTCGGAAATCCTTGCGTCATGCGACTATAATCGATCGCCGTTGTGTCATAAAGCGTCGCCGGACGGTTATTATAGTTACTGTATTGGGGACTGCTTTGCTCGGGATACATGGAAAATCGCGCATTCGGATAAGGTCGTCCTAGTGTGTCGTTTGTATATGGTGTAGCGGCGGAATAAGGAGATGCACGAGTGGGCTGAGCAGGGTTGCTGGAAGGTATAGAAACTGTAGGTGAGCTTGTCGCTTGTTGGCTCGCCAATTCGTCTTCTTCTTCTTGCAATCTCCTTGCATACTCTTCATCAGCTTTCTCTTGCTCCCTCTTCAATTGTTCCTGCCTTTCGAGTGCTTCATCGTCATCAAGTTCCAAGTCGGCCAATCTCCGGGCTAATTCTTTATCTCGTCTCTCTTGTTCTTTCGCCTCTCTCATTCTTTTTTCCGCTTCAGCATTGGCTTCGGCAGCCTCTATCTCGGCCAACTCTGTTGCTACATCTTCATCACTCTTTGACCTCTTATCCAATTTCTTGGATTCATTCTCTCGAGGACTAGCAACAGTAGGAGAGACTTGAGCAGCGGGAATGCTAGCCGAGGCATTGTTTTTGCGCGTAAATAGTCCATCTCCTCTGTCCAATATCGATAATAATGAAATCAATATAACGTGTTCCAGTCCTTTCTTGTCAGACACTTCCAGTCTATCCATGTTGAAATACATCACTGTCACGGTACCCAATTGGCCATGTTTTTTCTTTGGATTGAATATTGCAACACCAATGCCTGGTCCTTTTTCGGGCATCAATTTACACTCAAGCTCCTTGTTCAACGGGCCTTTTCGCCAAATATAACGATCGTTCTCCCAGTGGAATTCATATTCAGTCGCAAGTCCCAGTTTTCCCGTGTTTCTAAATTCGATTTCTAATTCAGGCTTTGAGGCGAGATGAAAATGTTAGCAACATGTCATGGAACAGATATCGATGATGCAATACACAGATGTAAGCAAGAGGGCCAGGGAATTATCGCTTTTACGAAACATATAATATACGGGATTGGCTCAACACATACGCTGTACAGCTTGACATGTTTTATCTTCGAATCATACTTTAGACTGTGAACTTCGGCCAATACTGAATCAACGTACGGGTGGTATAATCCTATTGTGTATGAATTTGGTATCTACAGAATGTTCAATGAATTGTGAGAATTTGACAAGCGAAAAGTGTGGGGGTAAAAAAGTGAAATTCACATTTTGTCATTTCTAACCCTGAACGTGCTCGACTACTTCTCTCTCCAACTCTGTCAAAAACAACCAACCGCACGTTTTCATACATTGAGTCTCTTCTTTGTAAACATAATCTGCTTTGTATTGTTTTGTTTTAGTTCGATATCGGTACCGGCCTTCTCGATTAGATAGTTTTCCAAATAACCTTCCTCTTGTAATGGCATGGTGATTAAATACAAATGGTTTCTATCCTACGGTGGTATTATACAATGATTGTCTTGCTTTGATTTCTCGCCGAAACTTGTTTCGTTCAGTATTTATGAATATGTCAGGTACAACTTTTTTCCCTTCTTTATCAAATATAAAGTTGTTCGTTTTATGTGACATGAATCTATTCAACATGGTAACACAACAGTCTAATCTTGGTAAACGAATGCTCGGAATATTTGGTCCGTTAATATTAAATAGAATAGCATAATAGCAACAATCAGCAGATAATGTTCCAAAAGATAAATAGACCCAAGATAAGAGTGATTCGATGCAAATGCTAAAAGAAAATCTGCGTCATAATGATGGACTGCCAAGAGACATCAAGGATGGAAATTCGATTTCGAAGGCTGGCCTTGGCAAATGATTTGTAATTTAATAATTTCATAAGACGCCGAGCAAAAATTTCTTCTTACCAGGGTAATGAAGACTTTTTTTTTTCCCTTAACAATGTACCATTTAATGCTTATTTAATAATACGGTTTCCTCCCGGTCTTTCCGTTCTCCCGCATGTCTCATATTCTCACGCCAACACTACCACAAGAATCTTTGAAGCTGGCTGGGCTCTGATTCCCATTTAAACGGTTTGTAAATGAACAAATACAATGTGACTGCGTTTACAACAGAGTAGGCCATAAATTCAAGCAATAGTCGTGTTGCCGATGGTGGCCTGATGTTTAAACGATAGATAATATACGGAATGATAAAGTATCTGAATTCAAACAATGGGGATGGAACCAGAGTCAGGCAGACGGCGGTAGCAAAGGTCAGCATCCATAACGACGACCTACACGCAGCTGAAAAAAGAAAAAAAGGGAATGTTAATTAGAGCATACAATGATGATAACCGAGCCCATAATTGGTAAGCGTCATTATGACTAGCAGCCAGTTAACTTACTCAGTGGTCTGAGAATTATTTGCAAAGCCGTAAAGTATGCCGGAATCAGCAAGTATTTAACCGACGGATGTCTTTTGTATATCTTTTTCCAGACATAAAACGAATAATGTCTATTGTCACTCAACAGAAATGGGTGTTCATATCTATAATATTTGCGACACGCGTGTCATTTAGTAGCGTTAAAATTAAACGTTTCACTGTATGCTTAATATGTGTTTGCTGCGCCAAAGTACAAATAAGCTTACTTACGTATATTTATGTATAGATATGGCCATAAATAACATTGTCACGTAGGTAATCGGTGTAATCAAACATTTCCTGATCAAAATCATGTGTTCATGTATGTAGATCCCATTATGGTTATTGTTATCGTTATCTTAATCTGACACCCATCAAATAAACTAACCTTAAATCGTACAGATCGCTCGGATGGATCATGGTGAGAGGAAGTGAGAGAACAGCTGTGAATGCAATGAAATAATATACCTGGGGGATGTGTAAAATAGCTACATGATTCGTTTTATCGCCTATTAAAGATCAAGTAGAAGTCAATCATCACTTCTAACAAGGCATCAAAAGCACAACATGTATATTAGACTGCCAAGTGCATTACCGAGTGCAATGCTTCCGTTCCACACGAAAAATACTCCCACCAAGAGCACAACGACAAAGTATGGAATTGTTCTCTTCACTAATATCTTCAAATTACTTTGTATTCCGCTTACAACGTTTTCTGCAATCTTTATCCACCGTTCTGTATAATAAACTGCGTATTTAGGCATTGCAATTGCATTTACACCACTTTTTGATCGCGCGCTCACCTACGAACGAATCTCTTTCGCTGGGTGGTGAGGAAAAGATAACTGGGGAAAGAATGGAAGAAACTATATCTCCAGCCACAAAGCATGCCCATATTATGTTGGTCTGACGGAATAAAATGGATATCGCCAAACACTGTAAATAGAGGTAATCATATTCGCGGGGGGGGGGGGGGGGCGTGTATGCTTAGCTCTCGAGAAAAATTGGATATTACGTGGGTAAAAAAGAAACATAATACGTGCATTGCATTTTGCATTTGGCACATTCCAGACTGTTCACGTCACGAAAATTCTCGGTTTGGGCAAACATTCACATACCATAGCACTCGGACCATACTTTCCAACCCTCTCCAAATAATATCCAGCCAACACAAAAAAAGTTGATCCAGTGTCAGTATAATACAAAAAGCTATAAAACCATAACACTGGGAATGACGATATCACAATCGATTCCATTATCGTCCGCAATGAATATGGAGATACCGATGGATGGAGAGAATGGAGAAGATGAGGAAGTAGGTAAGAAATCATTATCGTAAATAGTAAAGAGGTCATTCGGAGAAATTGAGTGGAGCAGAATATAGAAGGTGAAGATGGAGGCACTGTAGATAAAAGGGTTACTAGAAGGTTTGAGATTATGTATCTGATCAATGAACGGTGATGATGTGGTTACGTTCACGATTATCCATTCCCGTGAGTCAACGTATAAAGGATGTGTAGTGACGTGATTGCGCATTATGTTGGTAAGCAAAGAATAATCAATATAATAACCGGACAACTTTTTCTTTCCCCTCTATACTTACAATCCAGGTGGAGTAGTCAATTTGGGATCCCAAGTGTAATAATCTCCATTGCAGTATCTTTGTGCTTGTGGAACATGGAATATTTCATCCTACAGAGAATAAATGGATTGCATGAACATCAATGGTTTTGAAACCAGTATATGTTATTTATTCGCGTTACCATGTATGCATCGGGCACTGCCTTGTTCACCGCATAAAATACAATTCCAAGAATACACCCATGCACGATTAACGGTATCCATGACGCTAGGCTTTTTTTGCTCAGCATTGGAAAGAATGACTGTTACTGCAAGTATTAGCATTTAGTAAGTTTGACAATGTATATCCACTCTTTAAAGATGAATGACACATGTTTAGGCCATCCAAATCGTCAATCAAGCCATAAGAATACCTTTTGGCTACTTTTTGTTGGATATTATTGTGAGAGTAAAGGATATATATTGTCTTATCTGTCATTAAAATCGTAATTTAAAGCATGCGAGTACAAAACCTGTGTGTAACTCTATATCCAATAGATTTGAGCGTCGATTATTGCGCGCATCAAATATCGAAATCCTTTCAATTAGCTATTAGATATGTTTATAAAAAGTGTTAAGCAAGCGGCAAGTGAGTTTTTGTTATAGAGCCAACAGTTCATGTCAATTTTTATCTAATAAATCAATAAGAGATAGGAATTGTTTTTTCCTAATCTCTGTTATAACATACTACTACTATATTTGCATTAACCACATATGAAGACTTTCTTGCTAACAACGTCTCAAGAGATATTATTTTTCGCAAATTGGCTAAAGAGCCGTTTAATAGTTATCGTCATCTGTAAGACAAATATACTAATTACAAAATCGAGCGATAAATACAGTCTGTCTATTATCGAAAAGCATATTTATACTGTTGTTGTTTTGATATTATATTCTTTAATAATTAAATAAAACCAAAGTACTGTCAAATCAGTAAATTTATTTACATTGTATGAACGGATCCGGTCTATTTTATTGCAGTGCATTTACTAATCGAAAGAAATAACGTTGGGGATAAAATAAACGCCTCTCAAATACCGAAAACAAGACAAATACAGGGAGTACCAAAACGTTTGTGTAAATTAATAACACTTTCATTAGTATTAGACAGCAGTGTTATAACAATAATGTCTGTTTTTTTTTTTCTGAAAGCACAGTCAATATATAAAAGGCATTGTATTTATATTGTAAACACAAAATAAAAAAGTTTTTTGTATTTACAAACTTTTTGGTATCCCCTGTATTTCCTTAAGCACGCGTCGAATCTCGAAAAGGATTTTTTACTGTTAGTTATTATTCTAAACATACTCGTGTACATTGTTAAGTGCGAAAGCTGGAATAATAAACCGGCTTACGAAAGTTAGACAAACATCTAGTTGCAGACGAGCGAGCAATAAAACAAGGATAAAATTTAATGTAATCCTTCCACAAGAACGGGTCTTCATACTTAACAATAACAGATTTTCTCAAAAATTAAATCGACGCTGTAAGCAAAATTTTAACTCCCTGCACAACATTTCGACTCTATTGGAAAGACTTTTAAAAGGAGTGGAAACGACATTTTGGCAAACACAATTGTTACGGATGAGTATGCAATTTTTTTACAATCTATCGTTATATGTGCAGACATTTAGTTAAAACAGTTAGCGGCACAGCTAACCATTCGTTATACGAAACTTTTTTGACCCTTTGAGAAATCTGTGTCGAGGCACTGCTGAATTTGAAAAAAAGACTGGAGAAATACTTGTCGCATATGCAAAACTCGTAAAAAAAGGTTTACAATATAGTACAGATATAAACGGGAGAGGAAAAAGCGTGCCCGAACGTGCAAGAAAGAATTTAGTTTCCACACCTGGATTGAAAGTAACTAGAGTCAGATAGTCAGTTATATTTATAGTCAAGTCAATCATATCTGCAAGCCATTTGACCAAGTAAATTACCGTTTTGGTTTCATTTGTAATGATTATAAAATTGTACATTTCGGGACACCTCAAATTTACGTAAAACTTGATCGTCAGCCAATCACGTTCCGAGAATGCGGAGAAAATTGCAAAACTTCCGAAATTTTTTTCCACAGAACAATGTCGGCAGCAATTGACAGCTTGATGAAATCAAATGAACAAAGTAGACTTGAATGGATTACTCCTTCTATAATCACTGGCGTTCATCCAACTTTAACAGACAATGTCTATTACGCTAGTCGCCAAGGAACGTGGTCTTATTATCGCAAAATTCCGATAACGCTGATATTCCTTGGAAGCGGGGCAACCTGTCCACCAGCACTAGTGAGTGAGTTTGCCAGAATATACTCACTTCCAACACATAAATACAGTAATGTTGTTAATCGGTTCAGAAGATATTCAAAATGGCTTAAGGAGCGCAACAAATTCATAAGTGGTTTTACCAAATATGAAGACAACTATTACATGGTTGCTAATAGAAAGTTTTACCACTGTTATTCCCGTTACGGATTCTGCACCGCATGCGGTATACTTCGATGTAGTCCCGTGTGGTGCATTTGCGGTCATAAGCAATTATCCGATGGATGGACTAGCGACAATAAACAACTCGATGAGTTTATTAAAAAATCTCAATTACGGACAAACTCACCAAATGATGTCTATTTGGAATGGATTCCGTCTGATAGTATTGATAAGACCAATACTAATAGTGAATGCATGATTAGCTTACCTATTTCTTATCAGATTATATTGACTCCGATTGACGATTTATGTTGTGATAGGGTAAACTATCCACTTATTGACGATGCATATGTTATGGCTTAATATAACGTATTACTTTACTAGTTGAGTGACGAACGTCTAAACATGCTTACCAAAGAAGCCATTGGATTTACATACAATGCGATTATACAGAAATATTATCTGATAAAGTCTAAGGATGAATTATGTCTGGCATGTACAAGCCCATTCAAACCTATGATAAATACATTCTGCTATGAATGTAAAGCACCAAGACCTCATGATTGGACTACGGGCAACGAATCTTTAGATTCATTCATCATGGAGTCATGGCGTAATGTTATTTATACAAAGGATGACTATATTCGATGGATAGAGTATCGCTCGTTAATGAACATACGAGAAATGACCTCATTACGCCATGGTTGCACACTTATAGCGGAATGGTTAGAACCGACGAAAG